AGCGGGGCCTGGAAACGCGGCGGCCGCTGCTGTGGCCCTCCCTCCCCACCAGCCCCATGGGGGAATGGGGGTCCCGGAGCCCCATGAACCCCCCCACCACGTCCCCGGGGCGTCAGAGCTGCCCTCCCCGCTCCCCGTGCCTGCCGGAGCACAGATTAATCTGGGCCGCTTTAATCCGCTAAAGCCCTTTCGTAACAGCGCTCAAAAATAAGCCTGGAGAGTTCCTAATATTTCTTGAAAATTTGGAGTTGGGATATTTATAGGCTCTGCCCTTGCGTGTGATGAAGCTCCGCTGCTGGGGGGGACGCGCTACCGGGCCCCCAGGGTCTCGCCCCCAGCCCTGCCGGGACCCCGCTCTGTGCCGCTCCCCCGTCTCTCGCCAGCTCGGTAACAAGCTTCCCTTGTTTGGGATTAGTTGGTTTTTTTTTTTCCTAAAAACATCTCAGGGCTCCTCAGATGAAACTCCAGCCCCCAGCGCACAGACGGGCTCTGTGCTGAGGCGCCTTCAGCACTTCAAACGAATGCAAAGCAGCGGCGCCCGCACCAAGACAAACAGCGGCCGCGGCAGCACGTGTTCCCCGGGAGCGCGAGGGCAGGCGAACGGGAACGGCAAAAGTGACACTTCAAACCCCAAACGGCCAGAACGCGGCCTGGAGGAGCCCAGCCCCACCTGGGCTGCCGTTGTTTCTCTTCCCAATAAACAGCCGAACCCCGCCGAGGGCCGGGGGTGCGCGGGGTGGGAGCAGAGCGACAGGCTGGAGGGTCCCGGCTGCTCCGCTTCGCTCTCCGGGAACGCGACACCGGGTTCCCCCGCAGCGGGACCGTGCGGCCCCCATCAGCGTCTCCAGCGGACGAAGAGCCGGGAAGGTCCCGGAGAACCGATTCCCCCCCGGAGGTGGGCGAGATCCCGCTGCGGGACGAGGGGTGAAACCTGCCTCGGCGCTGAGCAGCGCTTGGGCTGGGGGCCCCCCGGCGGGGACACCACATCGCGCCTGGCTGTCCCAGAGCACAGTTCTTGGCTTTGAAAATATTAATTCCCGGCCATCATTCCTCTTTTTTTTATATCGTTGTGATTAAAAGCGGCGAGCGCGGGGGCCGGGGCTGGTGCTGGACCAGGTGGTGCTGGCTGCTGGTGGCCGTCGGCACCTCTGGCACAGCTCGGCCGGGGCAGCGGCACCCGCAAGGCCCCGCTCGCCGGTGCCACTCTCTCCTGCGCCAACAGATACAGGAAAAATACAACCCCAAAAAGCTCTTGGCCCTTTGCCACGCAGTTTCACAAAGACGTGACCTGCTGCTCCCCACTGCAGCGGGCTGCGGTACTTTCCCAGTTCAAAGGCAGCAGAGGTCTCAAGGAACTGGGAGGTGAAGGGAAGGTGAGAAGCAGCCTCTGATCTCACCCTGGCAGAACCCACCCCACGTTCAACAGCTCCTTCACCCCCCGCCGGCGCGGAGCAAGAGCCAGCGACCCGACGTCAGAGCCAGAAATACCCGAACGGGGAATAAAGCGCCAGGCTGAGCCCTGCCAGGTGGGGGGCTGGGGGCATCCCCCCCGCGCTGCATCACCCCCGTCCCCACAAGACGCCCCAACTCGTCCGAGTCTCGGCCACGCCGAGCGCAGCCCCGCACCCCCCGTCCTGCCAGCGGAGGAAAAGCATCTCCGAGCCGAGCCCGGAGCCCGGGGAGCGTGACGTGACCGCCGGGCCTCGGAGCCAAACCAAGCAACACCCGGACTGGTCCCAGCCCCCAGGATCGGGCCCGTTGGCCGAAGGAGCCCTGAGGCCCCCCAGCACCCCGCAGCGGCCGGAGCCGCCCCGTCTTTGGGCAGATACGGGCAGGATTAGGACTTAACCTCAAAATGTTTCCCTCGCAATTTCCAAGTGATCTTTCTTATCAACTAATTAAAAATTTTCCATAATTAGGTCAGGGAACATCACGACTTGGGAACGTTCCCATTTCAAGGCAGCACAGATCTGTCGTGCGCTGAGGGCTCGGAGCCCCCACCGGGGCCCTGCTGCCCCCCCATCTGCACGGGGGCTCAGCCCAGACTCGCCCCGTCCGGGCCCTGCAGCCCCGGGGGCTCAGCGCCGGCCCCTCTCCTGGCACTCCGCTGGGGATCCAGCCTGGGGAAAAGCCTGTTTACACTGCAGGGGGGAAAAGAAGTGGGTTTTTATAAAAAAAAAAACACAAACAAACAAAAAACCAACCATCAAGGGCCCTGTGACAGCTGGGGGGGGGACCCTGCGAAGCCAGGGGTGCTGGGGGCACCCGCAGTGCGGCCACGGGAGAACATTGAAATCTGCTGAAAGACAAAAACCCGCAGCCGCGGGATCTTCCCCAGGGACGAGCTTCCCACGGGGACCGGGACCCTCCCCGGGCCAGTCCCGGGCCGGCAGCACCCCCAGAGGGGCCCGAGGCTCCGCAAGCGCACAGGTTCCCTTTTACAACCTGTGAGTAAATTGTTGTGGTTCCAATAAAAAACGAGCACTTGTAACCGTGCAGCCGCAGACTGGATTTCCTTGAGAGCACAGATATAATTCTTGACGGGGGCTTCCTGACACATAAATTATGACGCTATTTTGGAGGCAATCTCAGAACATCAGAATAAGAAACAGCCTTTGTACATCACAATATTGTTTCTAAATTGACAAATAGACCCTCATGGGCTTCATTACTCCGCTCCAGGCACGCGTTTGCATTTTTATTTTCCCTAGGAATGATTAAAGGGCTGCAGAGCCGTGGGCTCTGGGTTTGGAAAAATCAAACACCAGCCCCGATCGAGCCGAGAAACAAGAAAAGTAGCTTGAAGGGACGCGGAGCTCCGCGCGGGGAGCGCCCCCCGCTCCCGGGACAGCTTTGCCTCCCGCCCTGGGAATTCGA